CTTAATAATAAATAGAAATAGCCTAGTTAAAATAATTAATAAAAGTAATATTAATAAAGGTAACTAGAATGTTAGGGATAAGGTTATTTAAATACTTATTAAGTAAAGTATAAAGTACTGGCTTAGCTTTAAAAGTAAATAGGAGTTTATTATAAGTCCTCTTGCCTTTAATAGAAATATCTTTATAGATATTTAGGTAAAAGATTACTAAATAAAGATAGATTATAGTAAAGATATTATAGATATAGAAAGGTATTATAGATATAACTTAAGTAAATATTTCTTTAAAAATAAATTTAATATTACTTTAAAAATAGATTAATTAAAAAGTTAGAGATATTTTAATAAAAAATATATAAAAATAAGGCATTAAAGTGCCTAAAGGTCCTAAAGGGATATAATATCTTAAAATTAAATTATAGTAGCTAAAGTGCTATTACTACTAAAAGTAAGGTTATATATACAGTTAGTAATTACTTATTAAGCCATACTGTAAGACTTAATTACAGTATAGGCCTGCTAGACTTAAGTAAGATTAAAATCCTTATTAATAAAATAATCCTAAAGGCACTTAATTGCTAGGTAATAAGCCTAAATTGCATTAAAATACTTATAAGAAACCGGTAAAATATTAATAAAGACCTAATAATTAAGGTAAAAAAATATATATAAAGCTATATTTCTTTTAGTTATTAATATAAAAAATATAATATTTTAGTAAGAGGCTAATATAGTATTAAAAAGAGAGATTATAATAGATATTATAGATATAATAAAAATATAAGATCTTATTAAAAGATTAATTAATTAGCTAAACCTTTAAATTATAGGTAAACTCTTAAAAAATATTTATATAGAAGTTAATATAAAATATAGTAATAAAATTATTAAAAATTATAACTAAAGAATTTAAAGATAAGTAAATAAAATATTAATAAAAGCTTATTAAAAATTAATAATTTTAGTAAAATAGAAAAATAAAAATATTAAAATCTAGTTATTAAAATAATATAAATATAGATTACCTTATAATATTTTATTAATATCTTATTAAAGTAATATATTATAATACTTAAATCTTTAAGATTAATATATTACTATTAAAATTATTATATATTAAAAAGAGGTATTAGATTAAGAGAATAAAATAATTACTTATATTTAGGTAAAACCCTAGTAAGATATTAGAAGTTAAGGGATTTAGATATTAAATTTCCCCTCTTCTAGAAGAAAGAAAATACATAAGCTTTCTAATAAACGGTATCTCCGTTTTGGTTACGGTATTATAACGGATCGGAAGTGGGACTCAGAACTGCGCTTCTGTCTTTGGGTTTCTCCGTAGTAAAGTATCCTTAGTGCTTGTACAGCATTTGCATAACTATCCTATACATAATTACTGGAAATGCCTTAACGGACATCTCGGAACGGTAGAGCCATGTAAGTACCTGGGAGCACTGAGGTATCCTCCACCTTTCATTCGAAGCAGACAATTGTGTTAAAAGTTTCCAAGCCTTTTAATTGAAACCTGAGTACTCTGACTTTCATTTGTTTCTATGTGATCGTCTCTTGATGATCGGGGGACTGAGTGCATGAGAATACGTAGTAGAAATGTACTATGTAAGGCAATGAGAGCCTGTTGATGGTGTTTGGCGATGTCTTGTCCCGTGGTTGATCTGTGAGGCTATGCCTCTTATGGAGTTAGTGCCTGCGATCTCTTTATCCAGGAATGGTTAGCCCTATCCATGGCTTCTGCCAGAGGTCATTCAAATCAAAAGGTTGCCTGTTCGAATCAGATTTCGGGGGGTTCTGTTTCTTTCGTTTTCCTAATCAAGTGTCAGGATCTTTTTGTATAAGCTAAGTAACCTATAGATTTAGTGACCTGTCTTGTATTTAACTTGACTATGCTCTTCTTGTTCGAACTGAACCCCAGGACAACTGAGAGATAGTCTGAGCGTGCCGTATTTGTCAGCCCGTGAGTTCAGGGCATTACATCTTTATCCCTGTGCCCTTTAACTTTGTCCAACTCAACGACTTCAACTCATATACAGCGTCATATCACTTTCTTATTCACATCAACCTTTCCTTACATTGATTCATTGCTCATTTCATTTCTTTCATCACAATGGGGGGGCAGGAACCTCTCCTATCATACAACACCACTCGGTCATCGAGAACCAGGGGCGCGAACAGATCAGTCAAGGGAGGATTACTATCTCAGCTTCATACAGGCTCACGTCATGAAGCTCCCTCTACACCGAAATTAACGCCTAGAAAGACTATTATAGCTATTTTCCTAGCACTTTTAGGACTCAGTCTGTTGCATCGGCCAGTCAGTAACCGTTACAATGGTGTTCCTCGCTATGGAAACGGATTGCGAACGCCCGAGGAGCGAGCACGACATATTCTCAGCCATACGCCGTTGATAGGTATGGAGACCTGCACCCTTGTCATGATTGGATGTGTATTAACTTGGTAACTCCAGACGGGCATGTTGACTTTCCAATCGTGCTACGTTTTGCATATGGTAACCAGATTTATGATGACAACTTCACCCAGCCATTCGAGCAGGGTGAGCTTGCTGGACATGTTGACTTGCACCGTCTTCGCCAGGGTCAGAGTGGTGGTGCATTTTGGAGTCTGTTTGCTCCATGTCCATCAAATGGTTCCGACTTCTCTGACAAGAACTATGCTTCGAGTAAGTTGTCATGGTTCTCGATTCATCTAGCTTGCTAATCATATATACAGGCGTACAGTTCACATTGGACCAGATTGATGTTATGAGCAGGCTGCAGGCAGCCTATCCCAGCCACTTCTCTCAAAAGGTCGACAGCTCCAATGCCTTTGAGGCCTTCAAGCAGGGCAAGCTCATCTCACCCTTTGGTATCGAGGGTCTACATCAAATTGGCAACAAGGTGTCTAACCTCCGTCGTTTCCATGAGCTTGGTGTGCGTTATGCTACCTTGACCCATAACTGTCACAACAAATTTGCCGATGCTGCGATTTTGTCAGATCCTGATCGGAAGGCTGAGCCATTGTGGGGAGGCGTGAGCCCCCTGGGTCGCAAGCTTATCAGCGAGATGAACCGCATCGGCATGATTGTTGATCTTTCTCATGTCAGGTATGTTGGACAAACTTCCCACCATGAACCCAATCCTAACCAAGGCTGTCAGTGAGGATACTATGTTGGATGTACTGGGCGGCAAGGATGAATGGACTGGCTCTGAAGCCCCTGTCATCTTCTCTCACAGCTCCGCCTGGAGCGTCTGCCCTCATCCTCGAAACGTCAAGGACAATGTTCTGCAACTCGTCAAGAAGCGGAACTCCCTAGTCATGGTCAACATCGCCCCTGACTTCATCTCTTGTGTTGACACCGGAAAGGATAACGGTCTTCCTGAGTTTTACCCCCAGAACTCGACTCTTGCACACGCAGCTCAGCACATTATTTATATCGGTAACCTGATCGGTTACGATCATGTTGGTATCGGTACGGACTTTGACGGCATTCCATCTGTTCCTGAAGGCCTTGAAGATGTCACCAAATATCCTGACCTGATCGCCGAACTCCTTCGACAGGGTGTCAGCAATGTAGATGCAGCCAAGGTTGTTGGAGGTAATCTGCTGCGCGTTTGGAAAGATGTTGACACTGTTGCTGCTAAGTTGCAGGCCAAAAGACAGCTGCCGCTGGAGGATGATTTGCCAAAGATGAAGTTTGACGAAGCTCAGGAGGTCTCATTGGAACGTGCGTAAGGTTGGTAGTACCGCGCTTGAACACGGCCATATTGAATTCATTTCCATTTGATCGTACATTATATATACAAGTCTTGTATGACAAGGAGATGGCCTGGCTTATCATTTCTCCTCGGTATAATCTCTCTAGCATTTAGACATGCCATAACATCCTCTCGGGGGATATTTGCCGATATCCATACCCAATTCTAGGCAACCCACTCTTCCAATGATGCGCTTAACCTCGTCGTTCCACCCTGTTCAGTCTGTTGGCCGTTGCCGTCTGTGTCCTTGTTCGTTGACCACGGACTGGCAGACCCATTGCGTGACGTCTACCCCGGTATGATCCCATATCCTTCAGTCGTCGAATATTCTCTTGTAACAAGCGACGGGCGTCCGTTTCGATCGTCATTTGTGATAATTCGGCCGTGATGAGAGTGACGGTTCTGGGAGCGAGGGATCCGACCTTGGCGAGCTTGTGGATCGAGTATTTCGCCATAATTCGGGCAGATGTCTGGGGCCCGAGAGCGTAGAAGGACTCGAGGGCTTTCTGTGGAAGGGTCTGGTGTGAGAACGTATGAGAGTGTTCAGTGACTGTTAGACTTACCTTGACGAGCTTCTGCTCGCCGAAGTTGACGCCTAAGAAGAAGACCTGTATACTGTTAATCTCGAATTGCTTTGAAGGGTGGGCATTGGATACAAACGTACCATGGTGACAGATTATCGTGAGTATCACAGTCGCATGCCTCGATCTCCAAATCGAAGCCGACCTGACGTGCAATTGGAAAAAGATGGACAATTCGGTAAATCTCGGGTTAATTGCTGCACTGAAATGTACAAGACTGCCACCAGGGAGCTCCAGCACGGCGGGGTCCACTGGAGAAGTGAGCCGCGACAGGGGAACGAGGCTCTGACTTAAACATTAGTGTAACTCTACGTTCAAGCCGTGTTCATCATGTCGAATCTTTTCTGTCGCTTCTGGGCCCTAGATCGGCAGGGCACCAATGAAAGAACTCGCTCTTCTGGTGGCTTTAGCCGCTGAAACGTGCTGGAACGCAATGTGAGCTCTCCACTCCCAGTCCGGCAGCGGGGACCATCTGCAGGTAGGTAGTTTAGCGTTTAGGTCCCCCAATTGCGCACGCAGCGGGGACCAGCTACCCCCCGGTCAGTGGCTATCTCTACGGTATAAGTGTCCCTTCCCGTCCCTCCTCTCCAACCTTTCCATTTCTCTGCTTCTGCCTCTGTATTCTTTGATCATCGGAGAAACAACCATCATGTTCAATCTTCGTCGCCTTTTCGTGTCGGCCCTGGTCCTAGGGCTCGGCCTCCTCTTCCTCGCCCAGACAGCTGAGGCTGCCAAGGGCCCCAAGATCACTCACAAGGTCTTCTTCGACATTGAGCAGGGTGACCAGAAGCTCGGCCGTGTCGTTATGGGCCTCTACGGCAAGACTGTCCCCGAGACAGCTGAGAACTTCCGCGCTCTGGCTACTGGCGAGAAGGGCTTTGGTTATGAGGGTTCTGCTTTCCACCGTGTTATCAAGAACTTTATGATCCAGGGCGGTGACTTCACCAAGGGTGACGGCACCGGTGGCAAGTCCAGTATGTTGCGATAGCTTCGTCTCGGTCAAATCCGTCAATTGCTAACATCTGCCTTCAGTCTACGGTGACCGCTTCAAGGATGAGAACTTCAAGCTCAAGCACACCAAGAAGGGTCTCCTTTCCATGGCCAACGCCGGTCGCGACACCAACGGCTCCCAGTTCTTCATCACCACCGTTGTCACCTCGTAAGCGCAACTCCATCTCCAACGAACCAATTACAACCGCAATACTAACAACCATCTCCAGGTGGCTCGATGGCAAGCACGTCGTCTTCGGTGAGGTCCTCGAGGGCTACGACATCATCGAGAAGATCGAGAACACCAAGACTGGCGGTGCCGACCGACCCGTCGAGGCGGTCAAGATCGCCAAGAGCGGCGAGCTTGATGTCCCCCCTGAAGGTATTCACGTTGAGCTCTAAGAGGCAACACTCTTGTTTTGCACCAGTCCGTTGCCTCGCCCTCATTGATAATCCTAAAAGGCCGGATTTGCTGATGCGTAGCCTTCGCCTCAATTAGACCTTTACGGCACATCTGAATTCGCCGCGGAGGAGGTTTCCGCTGGTTGGTCTCCTCTCCAGAAGGCTGGCCTCTTTGCCGTTGTTGCTGGTCTTGTCTTTGTTGGACTTCGCCACGCCCGTCAGCGCTCTCGATTCTAGGCGACTCGAGACTCAGTATTCAATAAGAGACAATACAACACCGACCATATCAAGACCATTTTTGTGTATCGATCTTTACCAGCTACTAGAACTCGACCCTATCAATTGTAGAATTATAGCCAAAATTTATGGTGAATTGGCGTTTTATTCCGTCTTGTCAGTACTGTAGCACGTAGCTCTGCCTACTAAGTAGAACATCCCTGTCACGTGGGGCTCACTCAGTTCACCACCAAGTCCTCCCCCGCCATAGAAGAAAAAAAAGTTGTGTAAGTACAAGACAACATCAATTTGACGATTCTCGATCTCTTACAGGACTGCTCAACACATCTTCTGCTCATATTTCTCCGAAATCAAGATGAAGGTTCTCAGCCTCAACTTTCTTACTTGCGCCGTCAAGGCCTGCAAGTCCTCTAAAGACTCATACCCTCTTCACCCAAAGGACGCTGAACTCGTCCAAGACGATATCGAGTTGAACCCTGACATGATCCTCAATGTACTGCCCCGACTTGACTGGACGGCTCTTTGCACAACGGCCTCTGAGGTGAGTTAGCCAGAACAAGGCGAGCGATCATGAAACTCGCCCTGTGTTGTTGTTGAAACAAGTTTCTGACACTTTCATGTTACAGTTGGGTTTCCCTCAGCTCCCTGAACAACCTCCCACAGCAGTTGAGCTTCGGGCTGATGAGAAGACCCTGAAGGATCTTCACCATCTTCTTCTCGAGACTCAAATGTCTGAGGGAAAACTCGTTTGTGGCAACTGTGGGCACGAGTACGCTGTCAAGGAGGGTATTGCCAACTTTTTGCTGCCCAGCCACTTGGTGTAAAGATGACAATACGAGCCAAGATTAGTTACGTTTGCAAAATTCCATCGGAGATGCATCACCACTAGAGAGATCGGATGTTATGACTTGAGGTATCATAACGGAGTTTGGCGTTGAATTATTTGATGGCTTCGAATCGCATCTGCAAAAAGTACTCAATAAATTTGGGTCAAGACCCTTTATCTGGATCCCCGACCCTATGTCCTGTCTACAGCTGAGGCTCGCAACATTACATGACGATACTAATCCTCCCATCAAGTCGCACCAAAGGAACCCAAACTCCGTAATCTGATATACAAGTATCATTCCACATGGAAGACTGATACATGGACAGCGCTCGTTTATTCCGCACAAGTGCTTTACTGCTGCTTCTTTTGAGCAGCGGGGCCCATGTCCTTCTCAAAAGCGCCGTAGGAGACCTCGAGGCTAGCCAGAGCCCGCAGACCAACGCCAAGCAGGGAGAACAGCACAATGGCAGCGATGATTCCCATGAAGATACCTACAATTAATTAGTACGGAGTCAAGCATGCGCAGATTATAACGAGGAAGCTTACCAGGAGTAAAGAACTGGTACTTCTCAAATAGACCACGGGTATCGCGTGTGGCGTTGCCAGGCTTCTCCGCATTACCTGAGACATCGCGCTTCAAGTCCATATGCAGAGGCTCGATGAATTCGGGCTCGTAGATGGTCTTCTCGGACTTGGATGTGGCCGTCTTCGCCTTAGTGGATGGCGTGCCAACGAAAAGGACAGTGTATGAATCGTTCAACCCTTGCTCGCTCTCCTCCCACTGCTTGATAGCTTCTGTGATATGGTTAAAATTTGAACTCAAAGCGAGTTTCATCATATAACTGACCTTCCTCGTTCGTGGAAGCCTTGATTAGGGTGAAGTGAGGCTTCACCTTCTTTGCCTGCTCGTAACACGCCCTCTTAATGTAGTCCTGGATCGCAGCCGCATCGATGGACTCGCCAACAACCTCAGGGACAATAAACTTGCCCTGGATTTCCTTGCGGCCGATAGCATGGTGAAGATTGGACATGGAGTTCGGTCGTCGAAGATCAGCGGCATTGACACCCTCATGAGCGATCAGGACGTAATTATCGGTCGGACATGAAGTCAAGAGGTCCTGAACTTGCTCGAGAGCTTGGGATCGCGTCTGGATGTGGTTGTTGCTGGGTGCATCGGAAAACCTTCGTCGTCATCGTTAGTAGGGAGCTCTAAGTGTAGATAGGACACGAAGGCGCGCGTCATACTTGGAGGTAGAAAACATAACCAATGGCCATGAGTCTGAGAAAGCGGCGGCGGAACCGCTGAGCGCAAGAGCGCTGGCAAGAATCTGAAGACGCATCACGGATGATATTTGCTGGTTATTGGGCGTTGTGTCTGCCTATCGATTCCAGCTTGTGATGATAATGCTAGCATTGAGAGAGCTGATGCAGAAGCAGCTACCTTACGTAACTATTCCGGTACATGCAAAGCCCCGTTGCATGCACACCTCGGTGAGTGATGGATCCATTCCGTTGTGGAGCTATCCTGGGAAAGTTTCGCGACAGTGGATTTTTCGATGTTCAAGATACTACCTATTCTTGCTATAGTAGCCAACAAAATAGTTTACTCGATACACTCTCATTTTTTCATTTGCATTTCACGACTACCGTGCATATAAGCAACCATGTTCGCCAAACCAAGACCCAAAAAGAGCATTCTGCCTCCGCCATCTAAGAAGCGAAAGATGACCTCTGCTGTCGAGGAGGTTAATTTCGACTTCGAGGCGCGGCAGGAATATTTGACTGGTTTCCATAAGCGCAAGCAGCAGCGCATCAAGAATGCTCAAGAAGAGGCTGCCAAGAGGGCTCGTCAGGAGAAGCTAGAGTTGCGAAAACAGGTACGCCCAGATTTTCAAGCGAGATTACCACTGTCACTTTTGAATAGTACTAAATTATTCTACTAGATACGAGAAGAACGAAAGCGCGATGTCGAAGAGCACGTCCAGACCGTAAACAGATTGTTGCAGGAGTCGGAAGCTGCTGGGGCGGTCGAGCAGGAATCTGACGAGGAAGACGGAGAGTGGGACGGTTTTCCTGATCAGCCAGAGCTGGATATTGTTGACCACGAAGAGGAATACATCGACGAAGATCGTTATACCACTGTCACGGTCGAGTCTGTGTCGGTGACAAGAGATGGATTGCACAAGCCCCAAGTCGACGACAAGGACAATAAGGAGGATAAAAAGGTTGAAGAACCCAAGGACGATCAAAAAGCAAAGTCACGACGGGATCCCAAAAAGAAGAAGAAGAAGTTCCGATACGAGACCAAGTTCGAGAGGCAGTTGACGGATAAGAAGCAGAGAATCAAGAAGGCAAAGAGGAGAGCATGATAAAGTACGATGGAGCTCAATGGATTTGGACAACATAGAAGGATTTATGAAGCGCACCATTTACAAAAAGATACCCTTTGAGAAAAGCCAGCTTCAATCAGCTAGTAGTAGAAACGTAACATGACATGCGGCAACTGCTCCATTCGCTCATCTGGCCAACACCTGGAAATACCTGCAACAAGGCATCATACAACTGGACGAGTATACTGATGTCTGCGGACATGCTAACGAACATGGATTCTGCATCCGGCGCGAGTGCTTTAAGGGTTGGGGATAAATTAGATGTTGCCAATCTCGGCCTGGAGCTCCTCCAGCTCCTTCTGGAGAGCGTTGTACTTCTGCGACATCTCCTCGTACTTTGACTCCCACTGATCACGCTCGTTCTCAAGGGCTTGCACCTTTCGCTCGAAGTGTCCGGCCTTGACGTCGGTCTGTCGGAGCCTAGAGAATCGCTCTGTTAGCCGTTGTATCATTTGTGGTGTTTAAAATTGATGGTTGTGGAAATGGCGGTAAGGGGGCTTGCTAGGGGGGTTCAACGTACTTCTCGTTGGCCTCACGGAGTGTCTTGTCGGCATCCTCGGCCTCCTCCTCGAGAAGTTGCAGCCTTCGCTGAAGGGTTTCGTTCTGAGTGCCGTGTTGCTGGCCCTCATCGGCGGCCTTCTTGAAATCCTTTACGGCGTTCTCAAGCTTCTCGACCTCGCCCTCGAGGAGGTTGTTCTTGTGCTGGAGGGAGGTGATTTCCTGCTCCTTTGACAGGTTCTCTTGCTCGAGAACCTTGACCTTGCTCTGGAGCTCCTCAACCTTGCCACTGGCCTCGTCGGCCTCCAGACGGAGCTGGTTCATTTTCTATCCACCATCGCCATATTAGCATGGGTCGACCGACGATAGTTTACCCCTCCACGACGGTTCCTTTTAGGTTGCCATGGCGGGGTAGCAAGGAACTTTTTGGACAACTAACCTCCTTGATGCGATCCATTTTGATAAGCGGCGAAAGGGTTGTTTAGGTTGAAGAAAAGGCTGAAGGGAAACCGGCGATGAAGACAGAGGTCGTGTTGTTCGGATGTAAGATGAAGCGGTTAAGTACCTATCAAGAAAGGGGAGGAGTGATGCCCCTCCACAGCTGCCCCGGTGGAGGCCGCGTCTGAGTATAGCCCCATTGGCTTGTGGCGGTCGTTGAGGTGTGGCGCTCACATGCCGGCACTTTCCACTGTAAACTCAAGGAGCATGCACCCAAAGATAGCGGTTGCCCCGCCAGCCAGCACAGACCGACCAAAACATCCCGGCCGCGAAGGTCCTGGCAGATGAGCAAATGACCCTTTCATCTTCCAACCGTAATTACCTCTTTTGATTAATGAATCCAATGACGGGATCAACATCTGCCTAATTCTATCCCGGCGACAAGACAAAGATATACTGAATCCTTGATTCGCTCGTAGTAGCCATCATGTTGGCGGCGCATCGCGACCAAGAGAATCTGGTCGTTAGCCAGCAAGTTCCGACCAAACAGCAACACAGTGCACGATTTCCAAAAACCCCATCTCGATTTCCTCAGCATGACGAGAATGCTCCCACAGCCTTTACTGGCAAGACCGGACTGGGTGGAGTGAAGACGCTGAACAAAGGCAATGGAACACGACAGGCCATAGTCACCCCGATGGGTACGCATGATTCTTACCAGGACAAAGAACAATATGCTAATCGGAGATGGATTACTAGGTACCCAGAATCGAGCTCCTTTGGGCAACAAGACCACCAATGCCAAGGCTAAGAACGGGCAGCTTGGTGGTGTTAAGAACATCATCCAGGGTATTGAGCAAACACAGCTCAAACCAACGGCACAGAAGCCCAAGCAGCGACCAGTGGATCTTGCACCTCTCGAGATTCGACTCAAGGAAGAACAGAAGCCCATTGAGTCACAAGAAGAAGAACCGGAATATGCCCCGCCGAAGCCCAAGGATCTCCCATATGAATCGGACTGCTTCCCCAAGGATATGCTGACCCTCGAGGGCTTGAAGAAAGAAAATATCATGAAGGGATACTATCAGCACTTCTACAACCCAATCGATGATGATGGTGTTTCTAGACAAGACCGGGAGTTTGCAGAGACAATGAAGAAGGTTGCTGCCAAGGCGGAGGAGAGAAATAAGCAAGAGAGGGCTGCTTTAACCTTCAACATTGAGGATCTTTCGGACACCGAAATGCAGATCAGGGCACCAGCACCAAAGGCTACTATTGCGGACTCGGAACGGAAGGTCAAGGGCATCCGAACCAAGCAGCCTTCGAGTCTGGCATCAAGGCGAGCTGCCTCTGCTTTGTCAATCCACTCAGACGCCAGTAGCAACAGCAAGGCTTCGAGTGTGGCACGAACAACGAAGGTTCGAAAGCCTCTCACCTCTTTGTATCAGAGCAAGAAGCCTGTCGTCAGAAGTGTGGTGCCTGCCAAGACATCGACTGCAGAGAGTGCTACTGGCGTTGCTGCATCACGAACCACTATTGGCTACAATCGAGGTAGATCAGCATCCTCAATGGTCAACGCTCAACGTCGCGGGCCTACGGCACATGTTGGAACACAGCGTGCTGTCAAGTCTGTCGAGACAGTCAATTCTCTTCAGTCTGATCTCACTATAACCCCAGCTCGCCTCCGTCAAGCGGTGAAGCAGCAGCAGGAAGCCAAGCCGAGACCTCAGTTCATGTCTATCTTCGATGAAGATGGAGATGATGATCATCTCCCACCTCTGAGCCAACCGCTTGGCCTCTCTGACGATGAAGAGGAGGAGTTTGAGCTGAAGCTGAACTTCTAAGCCCTCATTTTGTACTGTAAAAATATTCGGCGTTTGGAGGAAGCTTGTCGTGACATTAGTATGGGCGACGAGACGGAGTTTGGAAGGTTCTGGATTGAGAGGTCACCATGGCTATCCTTTTTTTATGTCTGTATCCCAGATGGTTTAAGTCGAAATATTAGCTGCACCTGACGAACATTGACATGAATAAATTTGTTAATAATGACTTGACCTGACTTGTATTGTGATATTGTTTCCAACAGGTACGTTTTCACAACTGTATAGAGTCTATGTTGGCATGCATGTGAAATGGTACAGGTTAGGTCTACTCCAAATACCTATTGTTTTGTACCTCAGAGACTTGGCAAGCTGCATCCGAAATGTCACCGTATTGATGCTATTTGCGGTATTTCTCTTTATTTGTATTGATACAGATATACCGTCCTACCTTTGTTTACTGAGAATAATCTCTTCCAGCTTTGTTTTTTGAACAGATGAAATCCTTGGACAAAGGCCTTGCTTTCATGCATGATGACATCTCCCTTGTTTCCAAATAAGGCACCTTGTCGAACGAATGGCTCAAACAACGGTGAACAAGGTACGGATACTTAAGAGGAGTCACCGCATTGGTTATGAGAAACGGGCACTGAAGCCCAATGCCAAAACACGAGGGAGTTTGCAGCAAAATAACGGACAAACCGATTCATCCAATCCAATACTACCCGACGTCCACTGACGCGGTGCCAGTGTCAGTCCAATACTTGAAGTCTTGTGGGACGCGTTAATTGGCATCCAAACAAATCCCCACCCACCTATCACCCACCTACCAACCGTGTATCAACCCAAACATAACATCCAATCAAAAGCTACAAGAAACCTCCAAGCCACTCAAACTGTGGCTGGGCGATCCTCTCATTTGACCTGGACCTTACCGCTAGAAGTAACTCTACTCATCCCTGAACCAAAAGTCAAAGCAGACCGAAGCGAACGTCAACTTCCTTGGTCGTCAGCCATTTTTTCTCATTCTCCCACCAATTTCCCCCCTCGTTTCTCTCGACACTCTGGACATTGCTATCCATCATCGCGCCCGCCTTTGTCGCGCGCATCATCCATTTGATTCAGTCTGCTTGTTCACGCTCTGACGACTTTTTCTACTCCTTTACTGCTCGTGGAGTCGGTCGGTGACGCCGCTCCGCCACATTCAACCTCAGCATCCCTCGGTCGCGTGAAGCATTTCTCTCACCCTCAATCTCTTCAATTTCATCGCTACCTCGTTCAAAACAACCCTTCTGGAATCGCCGCAGGACAAACATTATCCGACCGTTAGGTGTACACTCAACGCTTCAGTTTAAGGATATCATGGTAAGAGCACGGGGGAAGAAGTAGGAAGAGCGCATCGTCACGATGACTCGCCCACCAGGCGCGAGCTTCGCGCAATTCTTCCCCACAGCTCCAAAGGTAAAAGCACAGTCCCAGACTCGTCCAGACCTCAGTAGAGATCGCGAACAATCCAAACCTGGGTCGACACCGGCCTCCCTGACCGGCGCTTGCGACCCTACACCAACATCAGCTGCGTCAGACGCAGCCGCGAATGCTGGCCAAAACGGCACTGTTTCATCGTCGGATACTATGCCCGCACAGCCCGAAGACACAGAATCACCATTCACAGACATTCCCAGCACTGTCGACTCGGCCAGCTCATACAGTAGCACGGCCTCATCAATATTTAGCACAACCGCCCGCCACGGTGCCGCGGCAACTTCAGCTTCGTCCCGTATTCCCACCTCGAGCCTTACTCCCATCGCTTCCAAAGATTCTCCCAACTCATTGGCTTCGGCCACCACAAAGCCAGACATGTCTACATGTCTGACCGCCGATCGGGCCGCGAGACAGTCCTCCCGAAACTCACCCGCCGTTGGTTTTAATGGCTCGATATCAAACGGACTCCTTTCCAATGAGCGCATTCCGGCTCGAGATCCCATGCCCTCCGTCAAGGGCCTCAAGTGCACCTATGATCCGCTCCTCGATCGAGTACACAATAAGAGCGTCAGCAAGAGCGCGAAGCCGACATACAAGGAGTTCGGTCGAGTACGTATAACTATAAATTTCCCTCCTTAGGGGGGGCGTCATCTTTGGTGAAAGACTCATGGCTAATGAAAATGATTAGGACGATGACGCCCCCCCTAAAGACCCTCGACTGGCCAAGTCGGACGGTCGCCTCGGTTATATCAACACCGATTACTACCTCCCTAAATCGCGTTTGCGAACAGCACCCGAGAACATCAAGCCCTATCCCTATGATTCCAAGACCTCGATTGGTCCTGGCCCACCCACGCAGATTGTAGTGACGAGGTATAATCCGCTTGTTCCTTTTAGCAAAGTAACGGCCATTTTTGCTACCTTTGGTGAAATTGCCGAGAGCAGCAACAAGATGCACCCAGAAACAGGTAGCTATCTTGGATTTGCGACAATTCGATACCGAGACTCTAAGCGACCCGACCGACCTCCCGTTTCTGCTATGGAGGCAGCTCGCCGAGCTGTACGGACTCGAGGCATCAAGGTTGACGCCGACATAGTCCGTGTCGAGTACGATGCAGAAGGGCGCAGAAGCCGACGTATGCTGGAAGAGCACCTCAAGAGGGAGAAGGAAAAGTTTGAGAAGAAGGAACAAGAGCGACTTGCTCTTGCAGCCAAAGCTCCTCCGACTGGTCCCAAATCTGGAACTGCTCCTGTCTTTACTAGACCTCCCCCAACCGCTCCTAAGGGTCTCTCAGCACAGCGACAACCTGTAGTCCCGAGCGCACCACAACTTTCTTTAACCCCCTCACAACAAAAAGGCCTCAATCTCGAAACTTCAAACCTTACCCAAAAACTCGCGGACGATCCATATATTTACGTTACAGGCGATAGTGTCCCAGTACTACCAAGTATTCTTCCACACATGAAGAAACGACTCAAGAATTACGGATTTGAAGAAATCCGAGTCGACAAGTCGGGCTATTTCATCGTGTTCCGCAACTCGTTCACCGGGAAGTCAGAAGCTGAACGATGTTTCCGCGCTGTTAATCACACCGAATTTTTCAATTATGACATGACTATGCAATTATGCTTACCTCGTCCCCATCGAGATGGCTCCTCGAGTCACCGACGATCCAGTGCAAGTCCAGAGCGAAAAACAAATACCGAGCCACGATATCGCGACGAGAAGGAAAGGCGGCGACGAGAAGAGGAAGCAGATCTTGAAGAGGAGAAGAAGCAAAGAGCTAAGAACTTTGATCCGGTAATCGAAGCTGTGGAGGTTGTTAGACGTGAGATGACAGAACATCTGATTCGACACATTCGCACCAAGGTCGCCGCACCTGCTCTCTCGGATTTTCTAGATCCTGCCAACCATGCTGTTAAGCGCCGGAAGTTGAACATTGAGCATCCTGATGATCTGCAGGAGATGGCCAGTGTCGAAGATGGCAATGACAGCTCACGTGTAGGAACTCCCAACTCCCGAGCCGATCCAATTGAGCGACAAACTGGTCGAATTGCACCCAAAGCCCTACCGAGAATTCGCAAAACCAAGGTTAAGCAAAAGAACGCCTTTGTTGACCCCTTCGCGCGAAAACGGCCACCTGTTGCTCGAAATCCTTTCCGTTCGCTGCATCACCGTCTTAGAGGCTTTGATAGTGATGTCGAGTCTGATGACGACACGGACACTCGTACACTCTTGGCGCGTGAGACAGAAGAAGCCGAATCGCGACCTCGCAGCCGGATGAGCACTGATGACGAGGCGTCCAAGGATGACTTTGTGCCATGGGAGCAAGGCGAGGACGATTCTATGACCGAAGCCAGCTTCGCTATAGCAGATTCTGCTCATTCCAGAAAGCGGAAGTTGGCAGAATCAGTGGAATCGGCTTTCAAACGTCAAAAGAAGTCTGATGAGGAATTGTTTGGCGTTAGGCTTACCGCGCTTGGGTCTGGATTTGAGACACGCGAAGGCTCTGCGGACATAATCCCCGAACCAGACGACATTGATAGCCGAATATCCCGCTCCGAAACGCCAGTTTCAGTTGTTGGTAAGTCTCTGAAGAAACGACCAGGCAGGGCAAAGAAGCCAAAGGTTTTTGAAGAGCTCCAGGACCTTCGGATAGAGACAGATTCTCAACGTGGTGAGGAGGAAGCTGTGGAACCGCCAAAGGCCAAGAAGACTGGAGCGAACACCGAAAAGTCCGCTGCAAAAGAGGTCGTCACGGACAAGTATGACGAGAAGCTCCTGTCAACAGAACCATTAACTCCTGCACTGGCGCTTCCCGAAGGCGCGAAGCCTGATTTACCACTCTTTCAAGGACTGGCAATCGGTCAGAGCGACACGCCCGACCTCTCCAAACTTTCCAGGAGGTTCACTGCCAAGGACATCGGCAACCCAGAGTTGTGGCTATGGACCCGTAACCGCATCAGGGAGCTCAACTCTGCCAACAGGACATTGGATTCTCCGGTCACCATCGGTGGCTACTATGTACCCAACTCTACTGGCTGCGCACGCACCGAGGGTGTCAAGAAGATTCTCAACTCTGAAAAGTCTAAGTACTTACCTCACCATATCAAGGTGCAGAAAGCAAGACAGGAGCTTGAAGCCCGCAACAAGTCGGGTAAGGATGCAGCAAGAATCGCCATTGAGAAACAGGCTGCTACTGATAGTGAACGAAACAAACGCGCTTCCAACCGTCGTTACGTACAAGACCTCAACGACCAAAAGAAGACACTCGGCCAAGACGCCGATATCTTCAAATTCAACCAGCTCAAGAAGCGGAAGAAGCCCGTCAAGTTTGAGCGCTCAGCCATTCACAACTGGGGTTTATACGCCATGGAGAACATTGCGAAGGATGACATGATTATTGAGTATGTCGGTGAGCAAGTTCGACAGCAGATTGCCGAGATTCGCGAGAACCGATACCTCAAAAGTGGCATTGGAAGCAGTTACCTATTCCGTATCGACGACAATACCGTCATTGACGCGACAAAGAAGGGCGGTA